GTCTAATATCAGCATAACGTCTCCTTGACAATCCTCTGTTCATTGCACTATCCAATCGAAATTGAACCGCTTAATTACATTTATATTAACGCAAACAGGAAACCAGAACCTGGTGCTTTGAGCATTGGACGGTATAACCTATGGCCTAGGAAGGCATAGCCTAATGGACCTGGTGCTTTGAGCAGTGGATGGCATAGGTTATGGCCTTAAGTGACATAGTCTCGTAGGCCTCGCGCGTTTTGGTCACAACCAGAACCACAACTCTGGGGTTCTTCAAGTTAAAACATATGGCCTGGAAATGCACAGCCTGGCACTTTAGGCCTTGGATGGCCTGGCCTATGACCCAGAATGATAAAGCATCGTAGTCCCACTCGTTGGAAGTGACAGGCACGACCACCACCATCACTGCAAGTTTTGACCTATTCGAATTAAGGTATGATACTAGCGGCCTGCGGCCGCTACGCTGGCCGTCTAGTATCGTGCCAATTTGTACCGTCTATTGTGAGCATAACGTCTCCTTGAAATCCTCTGTCAATGGCATTACCCATTCAGAACTAAACCGCTTCATTACATTTATACACAGTTAGCTTACAATAGAAAGGGAGATTCTGTTCCTAAACCCCATCATCATGATATTCCAGCTGATTGCCACAATCGCCATTGCGGTTTAGCACGTTTCCATGAGACTGAAGACGACTTTGTTGATTTCGTCTCCCAAGAACATTCAATACTCTTGCATCACCGATTAGCTCATGTGCTATTAGCGTTAGCATATAATACAGACACCAATGATTCCGAAACAGTACGGACCATTTCCAAGAACTTGTTCGAAGGCACAAAGGGAATTTAGAACATGTGCGGCACAATGCTAGCGACTAATTCCAGGAAATGCCTCGCCACCATATTACCCTGAAGCTCTGAAAGTGTTGCTCACTGGTGCTAAAGTGTGAGTTGCAGCAGGGACATTTTTCCGTTGTGAAGCAAATGTGAAACCTCCCTACATCAAAATGTACATCCTGACAGTACTCGCTGCGCAAACGACTGTAGGGATTTGAAATGACATGGAGAGGCCTGACTAATTCTCTTGAATTCCGTGGTGTAATGGTAGCACACCTGACCGGGAAGCAGTAGGACCGGGTTCAATTCCCGGCCGCCCCCGGCTTTCTACACCTGAGTGCTGCGTTCCTTACATGAATTTGCTCAGCAGGCTGCACGGCTCCCTTATTCCGGAGTTCAGCATTCGCTGCCTCCTGCTGTTCAGCGGTATCAGCGGCGAAACGAACATCTGCTTGCTGTTCATCACTGATTCTAGCCATTACGGCTAGCACCGATTTTGGCACTTCGCACCGTAACTGCAGTGGCAAACGTTGTTTCCGCGCCAGCACCAATCGTTTTTTATCTGCAGCGACTGCCTCATCGCCGTCCTGTGGTTAAGGAACGCAGCACTCAGGTGTAGAAAGCCGGGGGCGGCCGGGAATTGAACCCGGTCCTACTGCTTCCCGGTCAGGTGTGCTACCATTACACCACGGAATTCAAGAGAATTAGTCAGGCCTCTCCAACATTTTTTTTTCACGTTCAACTTCACCTCGCAAAAATCGCCACCATTTTGATGGGAGGAGAGGTCCGTTTGCGCGAAGTATGAAACAAAGAACTTACGTTATTATTTTGACTTCATCAATCATGAGGACTCAAATAAATCGGCCATGACATGAAACGCAAACAGAAAACTATTGCATGGAAGCGATATCCCGAACCGCCATGTCTGACCTAACGGAAAAAGTAAAGAAAGAAACTTTGACACAACTAAGTATGAAGCCTATGGCTCAGACTGATGTAGCTCAAAGGACCTGGCGCCAAAAGAATTGGATGGCCTAGCCTATGGCATGAAGTGACAGTCTCGTAGGCCTCGCGCGCTGGGGTGACAAACACCACACCTCCCGGGCTCTTCGAGTTAAGGTACTAAGGGAAGATGAAAATCGATCCCCTTAAAATGAAATTCTGGCTCATAATTATTGTAAAGGACCCCAAGGGAGGGCCTTGAGGCCACTTTTTGGCACTCTCAGGTCAAGCACCTGACCGTGGCGAATGGTCAAAGGTCAAGATTTGCCTACTTCTCTTTGAAAATCTGCATCTCCCCAACCCTTGGTCGCAGAAACGTCAAATTTGCGCCATTTTTCTCGCCACAGGACATGTTTAATAACTAGCCCAAAAATTTGCTCATCTCTCTGCTTTCCGAGACGCCGTGGCGCTTTTTGTGAAAATTCGCGTTTCGCAAATTCACTTCTTCCCTTGCTCATTTTCCGTAGAAACATTACACCGGAAAAAAACATATTCCAGTTTTTGGAGACCATCCTCGTCCGTCTTCGTGTCGAAGGGCACAATGATTCATCGATCCGTTTTCCCAGGAAGTTGGATGATATATCTCAAAATCCCTCTATTTTTCCAAAGTACCCCAGATTCATGGCCATTTTTCGAGAACGAGAGCGAATTTAAAAAAAATCAACTGTCAAATTTGTGGGTTATCCTCTAGGGAAGCTTCAGAACCATTTTCAAGCGAATCCGTTCATCCACCTCAGATCCTTTACGATTTTACTGAACCCAAGTTTGAAATTTTACGGTATTTCACAAACATAGAGCCATTTTTCTCCCCTTAATTAGGAATTGATATCTCGGAAAGCAGAGAGATGAACACATTTTTGGGCTAGTTATTAAACATGTCCTGTGGCGAGGAAAATGGCGCAAATTTGACGTTTCTGTGACCAAGGGTTGGGGAGATGCAGATTTTCAAAGAGAAGCAGGCAAATCGTGACGTTTGCCCATTCGCCACGGTCAGGTGCTTGACCTGAGAGTGTCAAAAAGTGGCTTCAAGGCCCTCCCTTGGGGTCCTCTACAATAATAATGAGCAAGAATATGATTCTAGGGGGGTCGATTTTCATCTCCCCTTAGTACCTTAAAGAATACTAGCGGCCTGCTGCCGCTACGCTGGCCGTCTAGGATGTGGAAATTTGAATCTTCTATTGTGAGCATAACGTCTTCTTAACAATCCTCTGTTAATTGCATTACCAATTCAGAACTAAACCGCTTCATTTCATTTATACACATATAGCTTAGAGTAGACAGGGATATTCTGCTCCTAAACGACATCATGATATTCGAGCTGATTGCCACAATCGCCATTGTGAACTCCTCGATTTAGCACGTTTTTATTAGACCTAAGACGACATTGCTGATTTCGTCTCCCTAGCACATTCAACAGTCTTGCACCACCGATTAGCTCATCGGCAATTAGCGTTTGCGTATGGGACACAATTTAGTGCATGTGTTGCACAACGCTAAAGACTAATTCCTGAAAATGCTCAACCTTGTATCAAGTTGCTTAGCTGGCTGCACGGCTCTCCTATTCCAGAGCTCAGCATTCGCTGCCTCTTGCTGTTCAGCCTTACGTTCCCAATGTGCAACAGGGAACTGTTCATAAGTCATTCTAGCAATTATGGCTAGCACCTCCTAAAGCATCGATTTTGGCACTTCGCACTGCAACTGCAGTGGCAAACGTTGTTTCCGCGCCAGCACCAATCGTTTTTTATCTGCAGCGTTAAATACAGAAAAAAACACTTGATCAAATAATGTATTCAGATGGAGAACTTGCAGTCGATCAGTGAAAACGTGACACGCATTCAGTTATTACCACGATTGACGCAGGTAAGTATGAAGCCTATGGCTCAGACTGATATAGCTCGATGGACCTGGCGCTAAAAGCGTTGGACGGTCAAGCCTTGAATAACATAGCCTGAATGACCTGGCGCTTTGAGAGGTGAATGGCCTAGACTTTGGCCTGAAGTGACAGACATTTAGGCCTCCCGCGCTGGGGTGACAACCTCCACCACGACAACCACAACTCTTGGGCTCTTCGAATTAAAGTATAAGAAAAATGCCCTGGAACGGTGTTGTTTTGTAGGCCTGGTGCTTTACGCCGTGGATGGCCTGGCCTATGACCCAGAGTGACATTGCATCGTAGGCCCGCACGTGGGGGTGACGACCTCTTCGAATTAAAGTATTAGATAAAGGGAAGGTAAAAGGCGACCCCCCTGGTTTGAAATTCCGCTTCAAAATTGTTGTAAGGGACCTTAAGAAAGGGTCTTGCAAGGTAAATGTTTTGGGGGGATTGTTTAAAAAAAATTGTCGCAGGGAATTAGATAGAAATTGAAAGATGAAACTTTGCACACGTATAAGTGACATGATAATGAGTTGGGGGAGTATTCAGCTTTCATTGTGCATCCCCTCAGGGCATAGCTTTTGGCTGGGTCGGCTTTTCCAAACTTTTTTTCACCATTGAAAAGGGGAAATGTATAAGGTAGAAACATTGTGGGCATGTATTTCCCTGAGGATTTATTTCTGTAAAAAAAATGGTACTTTTTGGTTAAAACGCCTCATGGCGCATATTTTGCAATGGGCGTATTATTTTCTGGAATTTTCTGTTCCTGGAAAGCAGAGGGTGCTAGAATGTTTATACAGTACTTGGAAAAGTACAGTATAACCTAATGGATAGCTGTGTAAAGAAAAAATATACTTTAATGAATTCCAGAGGAAGTGCGACAACGAATGAACTTGCCCTGATGGGACTGACTTAGCAGGCCTATAGGAAACCCTTGCACAGACGCGGAGGCCTATACCAATCTTGCCCAACCCATTCGCATCGAGGAACTTCTCAGGATTTTCTCGGCCCATTTGATCGAGAATCCTTCTGCCTTAGCCCGACGCGCGAGGCCTTCGACCTAAGCCGTTCTGTCATAAGTGAATGGTAGGGCACGTGTTGTGGTGTACTGCTACGCTTACAAATGAGAATGGGTTCCATTTATTTTTCTGGTCGGCAAACGGTAGATGTTCAATCGACATTTCGATATAAGGTGGCAATGTGAAATCCACTTACGGACGCTTAGGCCAATGCCATGTACACTTCAACGAAACGGGAAGCTATATCTACGGGCTGCATTTACGGAATGATGCGTGTTTAATAAGCAGCAGTATGAAACCTTTAGAAGAATTTGGAAAGGGGACTTCCGTAGAGTACTTGCGCCACAATGTATATGTTAACGATGAAATTACCTATAGTCTACGTGGAATTAATGCCTTCAAACTCTGAAGTTTGAGCTACTGTGTCTGCTACTGTGTTTCTGAAATTTATGCGCAAATAAAAGTGTGACGACCACAGGCGGGGGATTTATTTCGATATCGGAATACCAAAGCATGCACTGAATTTCACCGTATGACCCTCATGCTGGAGGTCAGATTATGAATATTTTCTGGAACAATTTTTTTTTATGCGACCCTCAAAGGCGCGAGAATTGCCAAACCCATTTCCCAAGGGGCTTGACAGCATAATTAGGGGTGTGCTTCAAAAACAAATGCTATGAATGCATTATCAAATTTATTTGGTTATAGATCGCGGATAGCGAGTCCATAGCGAGTTAGTCCATAGCTGCGAGTGATCAAGTTAATTTAATGAATGACGTTCTTTCTATTTCAGGTCTTGGACCTAATACGAACATTGAACTGAATGACAATGACATTGCTGTATTGTCTAAGGAGAGCTTCCTTCCAATGTTAGACATCCTTTCCAAAGGAAATGGAGTCCTTGATCTGAGCGGTGAGTTGTTCAGTTTCTTAACAGTACAGATTTTTCAATTGTAAGAAACGGTGATGGACGGTGATTTGGATTCTTGCTTGATTAGTTCGATTTCATCTTAAACATTTTTGTCGGGACTCTATTCTAGGAAATCCCATCCGATGCGGTTGTGACATGGCATGGCTCGTACTCGGTGAGAAATATATTAGGAATCTCTCTGGGAAGTGTCACAACGGAACAGAATTCAAGGACTTACATCGAGATATCATGACAGAATGTGATCGTCAATGTCCGCACCAGTGCGTCCCACATCAATGGATTTCTTCCTGCAAGCCAGAGACAGTGATTCTTTCAAAAATGCAGAACTGTCGGTCCGACGAATTATGCTGTTTCATAACTGAAGGTGACATCTCCAATTGCATTTTCTCAAGCAGTCGCCTATGGGTTTACAACTTTTTTTCGCATGCCGAGTTGAGGGTCGTCTTGATTGTTGCGGCTTTCTACTATTCTCTGGATACCTTCTTAGCTCTGCCTTCAAAAAACAGTACAGAGGACATTGAAACTGACTTGCAAGTGAGGTACCCAGAACAATGAATAGAGTGTTGGAACAAGAGTTCCAGAGTCCATGTCCTACTTTTCAAATATGACCCATCAGGGCAGATTGTGAAGAGATTTGAAGTCATGCACACAAGAAACAACGTCATTCTACCGATGAAAATATCGGTTTCTTCTCTCTCGATACACATTCCGATGAGCACATACTTTTAATATGTTTTTGCCACTTTCAAAATAAATGATTGAATTAGTCACTATCCTCGTAATGCAGTGCTAAAAGCGCGAACATAGGGAGCTAGTACATGCTATGACGGGTTTGATGCAGCTTGGGAAAGACATGTCATTGGTGAAACCTTGGAGAAAATCGATTTGTAAATGCCGTCTCATGTTTTCAGCTATTGTCATTTGTACGTCGCCTTCTCATGCGTTTGTTATTCCTCTGATATTAACGTGGAAGTCAGAAACATACATTTCTAAGGAAAATTCTCATGTCATACGTGAACATATACTTTGAACGTTGCCTATAAAGAAGTTTTCTAAATCAGCACTAACACATTTGAAGAGACCATCAGATGAACGGTCAAGTTCCTATTTTAGAAATTTGAGATTGTGTTTTCACTTAATTGTTTGCTGTACAAGCTTTCATTCTTGATATTCATGAATTTGCAAAATGACCAATTATACCATATCCTTATTTTGCATATTTAATCAATTAGTAGTCACATGGTTTGGAAACTTCGTTTGTTTTTTTCAAAACAAGCCAAATGTAACTTTCATTATTCTTACTGTGGGTTTTTTCATTTGGATTTTCTAATTCCAATCTATATCTTCCCTGCAGTGTACTTTTAACTTTCCCGTAGTGTTGATGTGAAATTAACCCTGAGTTCTTCATGTATTTTGAAATTTCGTAATCCGCGCAGTGGGTCTCAAGGGATGATGACGTGGTATATTCCCCATTGTAATACGCAATCAATCAAGTAATTAACAATGAAGGAGAGGTTGTATGAAAGTGAGAGTGGTCTCATTAAATTTCCCGGCCTGTAGACTTGCAAAAAAATATACAAATCGAATAATTGTGTTTGAAATCATTACTTTATTTCCTCAATGCCAGTTCATTTGTGCTCTCCCTCGAATTAAAATCACTGTACTGGTAATGCAGCGCCGAAGACGCGACAATAGTGAGTTTGTTTGCCGGATTGCAAATCAACTCACTGGTGTTGTTTAAAAGTCGTTATCCCTATGTACTCGGAGTACTCCCTATGGTCGCGCTTTCGACGCTTCACTGTCTAATAAAGTGATTTATTCATGAATATGTTTTAAAAGTGGCAAAAAGCATATTAAAAGAATGCACTTGTCGAAATGTGTATTAAGAGGGAGGAAACTGATAATTTCATCGGAATAATTACTCCGATTTTTTCTTGTGCGCCCAACTTCAAATTTCTTATTAATATTTCGTGAGGGGTTGGGTAAGCTTACCCGTGGTAGTAATTACCGTGGTCATTGCTAGTTGAGAACTTTACCTAATACATCGGCACAGCACCGTATTAATTTAATTCGTTGTTGTGGTTTTTTTGATAGAAATCACTACTTGTTCCTATCAGTCTACAGGGGAAGCAAATCCTCACTGACCACGAACCCTCCCGAGTAGTCCTAAGCATACATCTTCTTTACAGGGAACAGTAACACAAACTAAATTTAATTACTCACCTTAAATTATAATTCACTAGCGTGAAATTTACATTTCTGAAAAAAACGAGACGAAATACGTGTCCTCCCAACGAGAGCTTAGAGCCGACTGAAGTAAAGCTTGTTAGCTAGCGAGTTTGTTAGGTATAGTCGCGCCTTCGGCGCTCCATTACCTTGAATAGTGATTAATTCATGTATTCTTTGCGAAATGGCAAAGACGTATTTAAAGTAGGTCCCTATTGAAATACGTGATATATGGGGACGAAAGTCTCGATTTATATAAAATGCGTTAATTCTATTATTTCTAGTGTGCCAAACGTGACATTTTTCATGTCTCCCTATTTGTAAAGGTTAAGACTACATTTTGAAGTACTTCCCTCCTCTGATCTATGGTAAAAGGACAATATTTCATAAGTAGGATTTTTCCCGTACTCAGCTTCAAATTGGTACTTCTGAGGGAATTTTAAATTTTTTGTCTCTGTTTCGTTGGGTCAAAAAAAAATTCAGGAAAATGGGACTTAAAAAAAAGACCCTGATGTGTTTTAACTAAAAAAAAATTTTCTTCGGAAATGTAGACTCAGGGAACTCAATGCCAACCAGTCTCAGTATTATACTTTTCCCAATTTTGCTGGCTGTAAAAATTATATTTGGAAAAGCGACTCACCCAAAAGCTGTGCTCTGAGGAGACGCAAAAACAAAAGTTGATTTTTTCCTGAAATCAACATCACGTCCATTATGCATGCGTCAGCTGCTACTTTTATATTTCTGCCTGATATGCAGGGTTATGAAAAATTCTTTGAAAACATAACGTCCCCAATAAATATCCCCCCCCCCAAATTTTAATATATTGGATATTTGACTTTCTTCCTGAGCTCAGTGCGTCAGCAGTCACGTTCTTGCCAAATTTCAGCTTTCCATGTGTCTGCGTTTGATTGAAGCAATGATAAATATTTGAAAATATGTTTCCCAAAAAGGTGTGCCCATATGGCATGTATCACCAAAGTAGAATTTTTCATGAACTCAGCATGCGAATAGCTACTTATGTCAGTCAGCTACTCACGATCGTCTATCTAATATATATAGACGATCATGACTGACTGGCTGACTGACGCAAATTCTAACCATGTTCTAGAAAGGTTAGAAATCTGAAACTTGGAACACATGCACCTTTTGGGATATAGAGTTCAGAAAAAATCCGACTTATTAGGTACATACCCTGGGGGTACAAATTTATGGGGGGAACGATTTTCTTAAATATATATTGTGACAAATGAGGAATGCATTCAAAGAGTCAATTGGATGTCCTGGGTTTGGTGGTGTAGTAGTACCATATCTGACAGGCAATCAGGAGGTCCTAGGTCAATTCCCGGACATTCCTTCGCTAAGTTTCGGCTTCTTTTGCCTTCCATGTCCCGATACTCATTCCCCCTCCATATCATTTTTTTTTTGAGTAAAAAGAAGAGACATGGAAAGCCGAAATCTGGCATGGAGGTGCCTTCCGAGACGATGAGATCAGGAAAAATACAAAATTTTAGATCCATGCCCTGTGGGGGGAAATTTTTAGGAGCGAAGGTTTTCAAGTATTATTTTTGTCCTGGCGTATTGTGCTAGTGTGGAAAGATGAAACTTGGTACATATCTACCAATTGGGTTGCTGCAGAAAACTTCAGACTTCGGAAGTCAATGCCCTTGGGGCACAAATTTCAATGGGAGATCTTTTCAATTAATTTTTTTCCATCGGTTAATCTGATGAACATGGAAAGCTGAAACTTTGCATGAATGTGACTACTATGGCAGAAAGTTAAATATAAATGTTAATACTCGATACATCCCCTGGGGGAATTTTTTCGAGGTGCGATGTTAAAAAAAAATGGTCGTGGCGAATTGACAGAAATGGATGAGGTGAAACTTGGCACACGTATAAGTGACATGCATGAATTTACTGAGCTGAGAGAATATTCAGCTTTCATGGTGCATCCCCTCTAGGTATAGCTTTCGGGTTGGGTTGGCTTTATAAGAAATGATTTTTGCCCAGCGAAATGGCAAATGCATAAGAATGATACTTTTGGGAATGTAGTTCACTGAAGATTGATTTCGGTAAAAAATCGTACTTATCGGTTAAAACGTCTGAGACACATATTCTGCAAAACTCGGAATTTACCAAATTTTCTGATCCAGCAAAGCAAATGGCGTTAGAAAGTTTAAACTTGGCAAAGAAGTGCCTGATGGATAGCGGAGTAATGAATATATTATTCTTTTCTAATATATAACGATCGTGACTAACTGACTGATGACTGACGCTAATTCTAACCATGTTCTAGCGAAGTTAGAAAACTGAAACTTGGTACACATGTACCTTTTGGGATGCAGAGTTCAGAAAAAATCCGACCTTTTGGACATGCCCTGGGGGTACACACTTTGGGAGGAGATATTTTTAAAGATATATATTATGACGGATTAGGATGGTGTTGAGAGGATTGACTCGATGTCTCTGGTTCGGTGGGCTGGTGGTAGCACACCTGCCCGACAATGAAGACGCCCGGGTTCAATCCCCAGCCGTTCGTTGGCTTTCTTTCGGCCTCCTATGTCTTCCAAGTCGCGTTATTCATTCCCTTTCCCTAATTTTTTATTTGCTTTAGTAAAACGGAGTGACATGGAAAGCTGAAACTAGACATGGACATGCCTACCGAGACGATGAGTTCATGAAAATGTAACATTTAAGATTCATGCCCTGCGGGGGCATATTTTTACGGCCGACGTATTCATGTATTTTTTTTTACCATGGCGTATTAAGCTGGTGCAGAAAGATGATACTTGGTACATAACTACCTATTGGGATGCTGCGCGCCGAAAAAGTCAGACTTTGGAAGTAAATGCCCCGGGGGCACAAATTTCGAAGGGAGATGTTTTCAAATAATTGTTTTGTCTCAGTTAAACTGATGAACATGGAAAGCTGAAACATTGCATGCGTGTGACTACTGAGACAAGAAGTTAAGGGAAATGGTTAAGTCTCCATACATCACCTCAGGGAATTTCTTCCAGGGGCGTTGTTAAAAAAAAGGTAGTCATGGCGAATTGAAAAAGTGAAACTTTGCACACGTAAAAGTGACATGCTCTTATTGAGTATTCAGTTTTCATGATGCAATCCCTCCGGACATAGCTTTTGGGTTCGTCGGCTTTTCCAAACCTGTTTTTTTATTTCCACCTGCGAAGAGGGCAAACGTAAAAGGTTGAAACTTTATGGGCATGTAGCTCTCTGAGGATTAAAAAAAAGGTACTTTTCGGTTAAAACAACCCAAGGCACATATATTGCAAAAGGCGTTATTTCTCCAATTTCCCTGATGCAGCAAAAAAGAGGTCGCCAGAAAGTTTAAACTTGGCAAAGAACCTGATGGATAGCTGACTAAAGAAAAAATTATAATTTCATTATATATAGAGAATCGTGATTAGCTCACTGACGGACTTAAGTCGCCATTCCCATGCGGAGTTTAGGGAAAATTCTACTTGTGTGATATCTGCCATAGGGGCACACCTTCTCGGGGAACATATTTTTAAATAGTTCAATATGCTTCAATCATAAAGGAAAAATGTCCAATTTCCAAAATATTGAAATTTTTGTGGGGATATTTCTTGGGGACCAAACGTTTTCAACGAATTTTTAATATCCTTGCGAATCGGGTAGAAATACAAAAGTAGCAGCTGGCGCACGCATAACGGAAGTGATGTTGATTTAAATATAAATTCAACTTAAGTTGTGCGTCTCCTCAGAGCACAGCTTTTGGGTTGGTCGCTTTTCCAATTACATTTTTTTACCGCAATTTAAAAGGGGAAACGTATAAGGCTGAAACAGGGTGGCATTGAGTTCCCTGAGTCTACATTTCAGAAGAAAAAAAAATTTTCGTTAAAACCCATCAGGGCACTTTTTTTTAAATCCCATTTTCCTGAATTTTTTTTGATCCAACGAAACAGATAACAACATATATATTTAAAAACTTTTCCCAGCCCAAAATTGTGTACCGTCAGGGCATGTTTCTCCAAAGTCGGATTTTTTCTGAACTCTGCATCCCAAAGGGACATGTGTACCAAGTTTCAGATTTCTAACTTTTCTGGGACATGGTTAGAATTAGTGTCAGTCAGTCAGGATCGTGTATACATATTAGGTATTTGGCCATTTAACGGACAGGATGAATTGAATCCTTTAAATTCCTCCCATTTCAATGGCATCCTTGGAAGAGTTGCACGAAAGTCAAGGAATACACTTCTGAAATCTTCAATGTAGGAACTTGATTTTCGCTGGTCAGGTTGTGATTTTCCATAAATATTGATGTACATTTGAAATTTCTTGCTGTCTTGCTGGAGATCCACGACAATAATATGAGCGACAACCGGCTATGTTGGTAAGAAGTGAATATAGAAACCTCTGAGGAACGTAACGATATCATTATACTGTATACATTTTACCCTAAACATAAGTGTGAAGAATATATTAATTCAGGAATCGTTTGGGGTGCATCTCTTCCAGTAGGTCACGAGGTCGGATGCAAAGAACTTCTTGGCATTGATCATGGTCATTTTAGAATAGCATTTTGCCCAGGTATAGACGAAAGGTAAGTGACTAAAATCACAAATGGGATGGTATAAGGTGACGTTCTCTTTCCTCGCAAATTCATGAACATTTTTTTGTGTTCAGTTCCAGGATATATGATACGAGTTTACCTGAAGCAGTTGAGACAAACAACACGAAATGCTTTCAAGATGGGAAGTATGTGACTGGAAGCGTTGTGGAATTCTATTGCAACCAGTATTATATCCTAAAGGGAACACGGCGACTGATTTGCAAAGAGGACGGACAATGGGCGGAACACCCTCCCTTCTGCCAGCCTCGTCGGTTTCCATTTTTTGCATTCTTTCATAATTGTTTGTCAAATTTTAGTCACCACAGTGTGACTCTCACAATGTACCTACTCCGGAAATAGAATGTGGGAGAAATTTGCAACCGGTGCCCTTGGCAGCGGGAGGAAAGGCATCCGGCGTTGGAAAGTGGCCATGGCAAACAGCTATTTATGACATCCAGAAGCAACTCCTCCTTTGTGGAGGGGCTCTCATTCGAGAACAATGGGTACTCACCGCGGCTCATTGTCTCGCCGTTAGTGGTACCTCAAGAGTTCGATCTGCGAAAGACTTCCGTGTTCATCTCGGGAAATATTATCGGAATGCGTCTCTGGACGATGAATTTATTCAAATGAGAGAGGTGACGATTACGATATAAATATGCTTTGGTAGTGCCTATTACTTCTGCTTAACCTCTTTCTGTAGCAAAAGTCAGCTCTTCGTATTCCTTTCAGAGAGCATAGGCAAGACATAAATTAGGCATAATTATTCCTCTCTCAACATAAAAGTGCACCAATATATATTAAAATTGCACCAATTGCCCCATCTCCATGGGGCAACACTGAATCACGGTTTTTTAATATGTAAATGTCAGATATTTTCTCTCCCTCCCTTCCCATTCCCATCACTGTACATATATTGTGTACCGTAATGTTTTTACAATCACATCACATTTTCTCACATGATTCGAATCGGTATTGCCTCTTCCTAGGTGTCCAAGATTTTCCTACATGGAGGCTTTAACCTATTCAACTACGACTCAGACATTGCCTTGCTAAAACTATCGGAACCGGTACAGTTGACCAATAGAGTGCAGTTGATACTGTATGTCTCCCGATGCATCAGTTTCAGCAGTCCGACGCGAATTTGAAGAATGGAAATCTTGGATGGGTGAGCTACCTGGCTTGTTCGACGCACATTCCTCTATATTGTATTTCTATGGTTGCTTCTCTGTTTTGATGGCAGGTGGCTGGTTGGGGCGACAATGCTTCTGACATCCTGAGTGATGAATTGACGGAGATAAATATCCCTGTGGTATCGAATAGCAAGTGTCATTTGGAGACCATATATCTTACAGGCAACAAACGTGCCTCAATATCACTTACCACGAACTCTTTCTGTGCCGGACACGATAGGAAAACATTTCATCAAGGTATGTCCGTAAAGCAGCACATATTTCAATGGAAAGTGGTCTTTTGGTGTGGAATCATTTTCGATATTTACCAAGTGTAATTGAAAACATTTGCTTCAGATTACATTCTCGAGTTCGCATTTCATTTACTTTGTAGTAATGTCTTCCTCCTTGTGGAACTTGTGAACATCATAATGAGATTATAATCGACATGCATTGGGGATATGCTGCTAAAAGAAATGGTGAAGATGAGCTAAAGTGGAGATAATAATTTGGTGCAGGTGAATACCTTGTGAGGAGGAAAAAGGTGATGACGGTGACAATCATAAAAAAAAACTTTTGGAAATGCCGATACAACTTGAGTCTCTTGCCGAAACATTCAAACGAGTAGCCTTGATTGTGCAAACCTCTTTGCCATGTCAGTTTTGTAGTAATGCAGTCCAAAAATGGACTTTAACTGACTGTAAAAAAGCGAGGAAATCGAATGGCAGGAATTTGTCAAACCCAAGCAATTTGCCAATTTTCCGACTTTCGTCGTTACTTTTCCGTGAAGGTGTCAATTAATACTGAGCTGTGAAAACTAACCTCAATGAAAAGTTGCCAGATTCACAAAAATAGGAATTTCAAATGAGACAAGGAGCCTAAATGTAGCCGAATTGGAGACAATGATCAGAGTTACCATCTGCAGAGTTGTCGGAATTCACGTACATTCAGGTAATCTGTAAATCGGAGTGAAACACTTGGGTGAATTTTCTAATTTATTTTTTTGTCACTAGGAGAAGACATCAACATGAAAATATGATTCACATCAATCTTTTCACGACTTCGTCGGTTAGCCAGAAAGGCGCTTACAAAAACTAATTGCCTCTATAACTAAGATGGGAAGATCGGTTGGAATGGTCTTGCAATTTCTGTGCACATTTAAACTTCCGTCTTTCACTTTCTTGTGTTGAAGAAAGGCCCCTTTATAAACCATAAACCCTTCATAAACTTCATACATTATTTCATTGTTCCGAGATTCACATCCAATCACGTGGGAGTGCGTAGCCTCTTTCGCCCTTATCAACTTCCATCCGGCCCGTGTTCATAGCTCGTGCGTCCTTCAGGGATTCTAATATGATCACTTCTTCCATTTCATAAGTCCAGTTCCATATGGTGCAAATATTATGTTTCTTGTATTGGTTGTGCAATAAGTATCGCTGACGGTATAATATTTCAAGTTTAAAAGCCGTTGATGTTCTCAAAATTGGTCCGTTTGACGTTAGAGCATTCTTAGCCTATCGCCTTAAATCAAAAGGTGCTTCAGCGCTTTCTCTCAATCTTAAGCACATTCCTCATTAAGGTATTCACCATGGCATCTTTTGTTTGACCGTTTTACTAAAAAATAAATTAGGTATTCTGCATAACCTTTGAGTAGAGTTGCTCAAAGGAAAAACATTATTTCATTGTGAAAAATCAGATGATTGAATTTTTAAAATATTTTATTGGGTTGGAAAGAAAGTCTTGCAACACTTTCTAAAACTATTCATAAAATTTTCAAAGGAATGATGGGCGGGGCTTTGCATTTGTATATGCTGGAATGTTCTCGAAGCTTCTGCCCTCGGGGTATATAAGGCGGCTTCTGCCATTAGTTGGCAGCCATGGCTCCGATCGAACGAGCAACTCTTCGCCCCATCGTCTACTACGAGTTCCTCCAAGGACACTCTGCGAGAGCCGCCGCGGACAACATCTGCGCTGCATTCAAGGGCAACGTCGTCCACTATTCCACGGTGTCTCGATGGTTGAAACGCTTGGAATCTGGCGACACGACCTTCGGAGATCGACCACGCTCAGGACGTCCATCTACAGTCGATGACGAAGCCCTGCGGAACGCCCTCAACGCGAAGCCGAACGCCACCACTCGCGAATCGGCGACTACACTTGGAGTCACCCATATGGCCATCGGCAACCATCTGAACGACCTCGGCTATCGGAAGGTTTACTCGACATGGGTCCCTCATCGGCTCGGCGACTCTGACAAAGCAAGCCGTGTCAGTGTCTGCGAATCACTGCTCCTTCGTCCGCACAGAAAGGACCTTCTGAAGGAAATCGTTACTGGAGATGAGAGCTGGGTCCTCTACGTCGACCATACTCGCAAGAGTCAGTGGCTTCCACGAGGAGAATTGCCGCCACACGAACCGAAACCAGGGTTCCACGAGAAGAAGGTTCTTCTCTGCTGTCGGTGGGATTCAGAAGGAATGTTGTACTATGAGCTCCTGCCAACCGGTACCACCGTGACTGCCGTCGTCTACGCTGCTCGACTTCAGAAGTTGGCTGGCGTCATTCAAAAAGAGCGTCCCAAACGCGACAAAGTTCTCCTTCTGCATGACAACGCTCGTCCACATGTTTCGAAGATGACTCGCCAGACAATTTCGGAACTGGGCTGGGAAGTTTTACCCCATCCAGCGTATTCTCCGGACTTGGCCCCTTCCGACTATCACTCGTTCCGGGCCCTCAAGAATCACCTGCGGGACAAGTCCTTCGACGATCGAGCACAGCTCGAAAATGATGTCGGCCGTTTCTTCGCTTCGCAATCGCCAGAGTTCTGGGCAAAGGGCATCGAGCAATTACCCGTGCGTTGGGAACATGTCACAGACAACAATGGTCATTACATTGTAGACTAAAATTGCATTTCAATAAAGTTATAAAATTTTGACAAATTTGCGAGGTGTTGCAAGACTTTCTTTCCAACCCGATAGTAGCACGCACCCCCATACCCTCCTGAAGCTGACATAATTGGAGGATTCCGTAGATGACACAATCAGAGGAAGTGTGTGAGTCGAAACATTTTCCATTTCTAGTGGCGACCTATAGATTTGTTATGACCAGCGAAATCCCATTTTCTTCGTATATATCGGGTTGGCCCTTGTTCTTGCAGTTGAAAGTTCTTGCAGTTTCGAACAATATTTGAGAAGTCAATTTTATTCAATAACTATATAATATCAGTCAACAATGTAAGCATGATTGTGTTCCACTATATGTCTCCACCTTCCAGACAAGGAATGAATTCTGGAGTGGTAGAACGATTGGGATTGAGACTCAAAGAACTGTCGCTAGAAGCATTCGAGGTCTCTTTGGTCGTCGATTTTTATCTCTTTGAGGCGGTTCTTCAGGGCGCGGAAAATGTAGTAGTCCGACGGGGCAAGGTCCAGGGAGTACAGTGGAATGATAAGAGTATCCCATCCGAGGGCGAGGAGTTTGAGCCGGGTCATATTTGCAGTTTGCGGCTGGGCATCGTCATGAAGGAACAGCACTTTGAGTCAGAAACTCTCAACGGCTCAGCCGGGACATGACAATCTCTCTAGTTGGTCGCAGTAGTAGGCCACCGTGATGGTGGTGTCGGGAGGAAGCAACTCGAACATCACGACACCTTCCACTTCCCACCATACGGAGTGCATCACCTTGCGGGGGTGCAGGTCACCATTTGGCTCCGGCTGAGACTCTTCCTCGGCGTCTACCCACCTACGCTTGCGGGTATGGTTCGCGTACATCACCACTTCTCATCCCTCCTGACAACGTCGTCGAGCCAGTCGAAGCACCGTCGGCGGGAGAGGAGAAGTGCACAGGTGTCGGAACGCTGGTCGAGGTCCTTCCTATCAAAGCATGGGGTATCCAACTCCCGAGTTTCGAGACCTTCCCGACCGTGGACAGGCGGTGTTCGATGGTGGAGAGGGAGCACCCGAGGACGGCGGCCATGTGTCGAGTGGTCATGCGGGGATCGGCTTTCATGAGTTGTAGTAGCGCCGCATCATCCGACTCCGACGGGCATCCCGACCTGGGCTTGTCTTCGACATTATAGTTTCCGGACTTAAAGTGAGCAAATAGATTGAAGCGCGTCTTCTCGCAGATTACTGCTTCCCCAAACGCCTGGCACAGACGGCGATGGGCGTCGGTTGCCTTCTTTCCCAGACGGAAGTCATAGAGGAGTCAAGTGCGGAGATGGGAACGGTGAAGGTCGAAATTCTGGCTCATACTTGGCGGTAAGAGATCGAAAAAACGCTAAACCTGTACGCAAGAAGGGAGACTATTTCCCTAGTAGCACATGACATAGAATCAACATTGATTCAACGTTGGTTCAACGTCCGAATATTGAATCAATGTTGTTTCAATGTTTTGAGCTACTTGGGTTATAGGCGAACCGGGAAATTCTAGAAAATTCCTGTGGTTTCCCGATGAGAAAAGGCGAAAACTGCAAGAACTTTCCTGCCAACCAAATAATTCCTATCCCACCCTCCCGCAGGGGAGGGGCATCGGAGAATGAGTATGGTATGGACAGCGAGGCTGAAAAGCGTCACATGCAGGAGGAATGCACACAATAAAATTATTGCATTTTGGTCGTGAAAAAATCTGCTCTCTCTGGTATGCGTTACAATCACATCAAATTACGACTTAGATTTAAAACGTATAACACGGAGCACAGCTTTTTTCACCTCCTAAGTGATCCATTATAGTGTCCTGAATATTCTGTGCGCAAATTTTAAAACTTTTCCCGATATTTTCATTAGAATTCTCCTTCATTAACCAGTCCCTCCGATTCTTCCATCCCAAGACTTACCCGAATCCTCTGTGCTTCCACGATTGACCCCTAGGAGTCTATGTTTCCGCCCGAGATGTCTCAGCCGAACCAACTAAGCTGGTTCGCTAACGGACTGCCATTTTTTTCTGCTCTGGAAGGTCTTCAGTTCCTGGAAGTCCGCCTCCGACCAGTTGTCTAGGTTTTGTGCTGGCGGCTATAGCTGACAACCATTGTAGGTTTTCCGTGCCTTTTCCGTTCTGTATAAATCCACCTTAAAGTAGAAAGAGCGGTATTGTAACGTGCTTTCTGCAGGCGCACTGACTTCATTCAGAAAATGATTATATAATGAAGTCTTCAGTTTGATGCCTTCGTCTGGAGTCAAGGACGACCTATTATGTTTCAATTGAAGCAAGTCTTCATCGCCTCGCTAAGATAGTGCAATACTTTCCTGAAGAACTTCAAAATGCTAGCGTGATGCAATCAGCACATGGAAAATTCTGAAAATAAATTATTGTAACTTGTATTGTGGCTGTGACATGATTCAAGTCATCAAGAAGGTTGTGAGTGACCATTCGGTGAAGTTCTGCATATTAAGATTCTTTGTTATTTCTGTCGGAGTCCATTCATCTCTTACTGTAGTATATCATTTCCGGTCTTCATTTAAGAAAAGGAATCGCAAAAAAATTGGTTTACGGCATAAGGTACCTCATCATGATGTACATATTCATGACATCGATGGGATTTGACTCATAGATTATCAAACGGTGTGTCACGGAGACTCGGGCAGTCCCATGGTCTTCTATACCGATGCCTTGAGCCACTGGCAGGTGGAAGGAATCGTGAGTCACTTTTTCGGGGATAAGCGTTGCTCCGAGAGGCGCCCAGGTCAATACGGCGTTTTCACTAAAGTCAGTCGGTGAGACAGGAATTCTATCTCTCTTCATTTTCTCCCTATCCGTATGTATCATTAATTTCCATCTTTAATTCCCGATTTAAGCTCACAAATGTCTTCTCCATTCATCCCTTTCAGGTTTCTGACGTGGATCTTGACAGAAATTAAGGACGCACGATGATTGCCATGCCATTATTCTCCAGGATGTCATCCCTTTCATCAATGACTTGTGATGTGAAACATATACCAACTCTTCTTCGTATTAAATTTCCATTTATTGCCACAAGAAGCAGCATCAATAATATAGTGAGAACCGTAATAGAGAAGCATCTCGGTGAAAGAAGGATGTGGGAGAGGGGCCGAGTGGCGAAGGCAGACAGTGTCTTAATGGCAGACATCGGGCAGGCGACATAACTGGCGGTGAGTTCACTACTACCCCTTCCCTCGCCGATTTCAAAAGGAGGATTCCAACTACAGGATTTCCCATGAATGGGAACATGGCCGTCAACCCGCTCGGCGAAATGACCCGATCCATGAGAACTGCATTTTAAGTGTCCCCAGAAAGCAGTCCTACCCTCACTTCAAGGTTTGGCAGAGAACTGGTCCAGCCACATGAAACCAACCGAAATCCAGGTTGGAGCATTATTACACTCTGCGTGAAGTCAGCGAAAAACACCCTAGACCCTCTCGGAACTAATTGGTAATAGGAGCCAAGCCTTAAACTTAAATGAGAGTATTGTTCAGAAATCATTTGTCCATGTAAACCTGTGACTGCCCATACAAGCACCTTACTCTTCCCCTCTGTCAGAAAGGGGTAAATGGATAAATCTGAAGTTCGAAATATGCACAACCCTACATATTGCTGTGATTTCCATAAGCATTAAGAGTACATCGGTGGGAGCTCCTTTGGTTCCTTGGAGGGCTGTTGAATAACCGTAGATCCTAGCAGTATTAACCTGGAGGAAATTCGAAGGTTCTATTTCGGGGTTGACCTGATATGACCCTGGGATGTCCAATGGACATCTCATGTGGGACCTTCGTACGTACATGTATATGTCTCTCCATTTGACAGAAGAAAAAAAAATGGAAAAAAAAATCCTCGAAAAATACATGCCCCAAGGGCATATACCTCCAAATTCGGAATTTTTTCTGAACTCAGCATACTCATAGAAACCCACGTACCACGTTTCATCCTTCCACAATATCGATAACATAGAATTAGCGTCAGTCAGTCAATCCAGCTAAAATCCATGACCTGAGGGAAGGCACCACGAAAGCTGAAATTTTCCTGAACTCAACATTGTCAGATATACAGGGTGGGCCAACATAAGCTGTCATCTTTTGGTATGCTGTCAATCTGATTATAGGTGGCTGATTTTGATGGCATTTGGTAGACACATAGGGTGATTCCATCAGGGTTTGTGTGCCATGTTTCAAATAAAAATCCCAATAACATAAAAAAGTGTTAATTTTTCTTTCAGTTTAAAATCTTTCCCATGTGACATCAAACAAGCAAACAAAGAGATAAAAAACAAATTCCGCACACGAAAGTACTCAATTTGGTTTAGGGACGTTCATTTCAACTGGAAAGGTGCTGAATGTGCCCTCCGTTTTGTTGAACATTAGGCTATATTCTGAAACACCACATATGAATGGCTCGCACCAATAAACCTTTGAGGCAGTGCTAACCTATTTTCTTTTGTAAGCAGGGATGGAAGTTCATGAATTCGGACCTCCCTTTCATCCCAGCTTCAAGTTCATATCGATGTTTTCGACAGCACATTTTGTCGTTAGTCATTGGGAAATAATTACAGCGCTTATGTTTTTAAAGCCAGAAAGCTGGAATTCATTACACAGGGTGACACAAAAGTTCTGTACACTTTGAAAAACTGTTCTCGATTCTAAGCTACCACGTTCATATATGCTTGGCTTGGTTTCTACACGTAGCTTAAAGTACGCGCGACTTAGGGGATTCTCAAAGTGCTGATGAAACTATCAGTTTCGTCCAATGAAGATCGTCGGTCGGCTGTGATCAGTTTGCACGAAGCTGGGAAGTCTCCCACCGAGATTTCCCTTCAAACGGAATGGATCAAAATTCCCCAGGAAACCCTGCGTGCCGCAGTCGATGCATTCCGAAAGAGACTTCGCGATTGTGTTACAGCAAAAGGTGGTCATTTTGAATGAATTTGCGGGCATTACAGTATCTGTTGAAATGGTTGTAGTTTCTAATAGCGTTGTCCCCATTTGTGAGTTCTTTAAAAATGGTTATAAAAAGTTGAGGTAACCGAGTGTACAGAACTTTTGTGTCACCCTGTACAACCTTCAATTCCGTCAATCTACTGTATAAGTCAACTAATTTTAATTAGTTGCAGGCTTCCTACAAAGAAATTGATGACTCACCAAATATGGCATCTTTGTTTTTTTTTTGGCCCACCCTGAATATGTGGAATGTTTCACCTTAATATTTATGTTAAATTCGGGAGGACCATAAAAAAACGCTTTAAGAGCGTCACCTGCAAAAATTACGCCCCCAGGGCATGGATCTGAAACTCGAACTTTTCCTGAACTGCGTGCTTCAGTTCATGCCAATTTTAAGATTTCCATGTTTCTCCGTTTGGCCAAAGCAAAAATATTTACTTGTGAACCTCTCCCCCTGAAAGGTGTGCCCCATGCCATGTACCCCCAAAGTAGGATTTTTATTTATAACTTATCAAGAACATCGCTAGAATTAGCATCAGTCAGTCATTCATTCATGATACATATGTGCCTTATGGTTTTGCTTAATTCAGGGGGATTTCGAATCTCCCTAGGGAGAGGCATACATTTTGCTAAACCCGCAAGGTTAAGGAAACTCGAAATTCTCCATTACATCACCTCCCCCTAGGGCAGTGGTCGTGAACCATTTTTGTTCATGGGAGCCATATTAAGATTGAGTCAAGTGTCTGAGGGAAATGTTTTCACAATTACATAATTATTCCTGAAATTGGCAACAGAGACATGCATTCATCGATACATGAGAAAAATGAGGAACAGCCATGATTTTCAGCCATGAGCCAAACTCTTCGGTTTGTGAGCCAAATTTGGCTCATGAACTGAAGAGTTTGGCTTCCATTAGTTTGAATTCAGCCATTAGTTCCCGACCCTGCCCTAGGGGGATTCCAAATCACCCAGATTAGTTGTCATCATTTTGTTCACCCCTCGGGAGAAAAAGAATCACCAAGAAATCCGGAGGATATGGAATTTCATTTCAGTCCATATATAGGAATAAAAACATTAATAAGACTTGAAGAGCAGTCAATTACCCATATACCAGTCTTATTTTGAGAGGTC